CATTCTGTCTATGCTTTGATATGTGTGTATTAACACCTTCACCTCCCTTATTCGGCACATTAACCCCTTCATCTCCATCCTCCCATTGTACAGTATATGACCTGTACATTTAGCCCTTCATTTCCGCCTCCCTTTGTGTATGAGCCAGGGGCGGACTGGGCCGGGGGGCAGGTTGGCAATTGCCCCCCGGGCCTCTCTGCTGCCCACAGCCGACGCACCTCCTCCCCGCCTCACGCTTGCCACTTTTAGACCCACCGACCTGCATCCACGCTCCACATGCCGTACCTCCTCCCCGCCTCACGCTTGCCACTGCCAGACCTGCCCGCCTGCATCCACGCTCTACACGCCACACCTCCTCACTGCCTCACACTCACCGCCCGCCCACATCTACGATCGGCCCAGGGACACGGGGAGAAGATGAAGTAAGGAGGAGCAGGCGTGGGGGGATGACAGCCGCCGACAGACAGGCCCGATCTCAGAAGCAAGTTGCTGGAAGACTGCTCAGGTAAGCCTGCATTTCCCTCCCCCCCACATGGTGCTCTATAATGTATTGCTGGGATTTGTATTCCTCTATAGCTGATGGTACATTGTGCTGTATATTATACATGTGAATACAAATCCCAGCAATACATTGTACACTGTATGTATAATGTACTATTGCTGGGATTTGTGGCACTCCTCTATAGCTGGTGGTATTCTGCAGTGCGCTGTATAGAGACCCTGGTATGAGCTGTACATTTATTGTACCTATTGCACCATTTCCAAGTTCAATGTTTTACCCCCCTCAATACTGGCATGTTTCTTCATTTACAAAAAAGTGTGGCAAAAAATCAGATCACCTTGGAGTGTCTACTTTTTAAAAAGGGCCATTGTGGGGGGTTTCATGCTGTCCTGAAATTTTTGGGGATATAAAAAGATATAACAGAAAGTAAAAATGTTTTTTTTTTTTTTTGTCCTTTATATATAAAAAAATAAAAATCACTATCCTCAACTAGACTTCTTCGTATTTTTATCATACCTCTACCCTAGACCTTTTACTTCCCTTATTTGCCATAGCAATTCCTTGACAACTTACTAGAACATATTTGAAACAGCTTCCACTTTTATGATCTGGTTTATTGTGAATTACAATGTAAACTTAATTAAATTGTCTCTCTTTTACTTTGTTTTCTCTTTTCTCTCTGAAGCTGATGTTGTATGTCTTGTACTTCCTACTTATTTTTTTCCATTCAACGTTTACGGTTTATTTTTCAGTAACCCAATGACAATAAGCATCACGTACTTTGTATTTAATAATTTTTTTTAGACACATTTGATGGTTGATATGCTATTGGGTCTGCATAAGTAATGTACCCAGTGTTTCCCAATCTATTGCCATCCAGGCCATTAACACAAATGTACTGTTTATGTAATTGCATTTACTATCTTTCTTCAATAATCGTTTATGCTACAAAAAATAAAAAAATAAAAAACAAAGCATATATTAAAAACCACCTGTAGCGCCCTCTAAAATGTCGCTATTCAATTTAGAGATACCTGGACTGTAACCAGTCCAGATACTGATTATACAGAGCTCTGCATTCTATAGGTGTCCCTGAGTCTGCTGGATTGATTGCTCCTCCTGTTGCTGAGGAAAAGGGAGCCTTGGCATACAGTGAGGGAGGATCCACCCTCAGGTTATGACTATGCACCTGGCCCTAGCCAATCCCTGAGTAGGATGACTCAGAGGCATGGTTGAGGGCAGGTAATAAAAGGTCTGGGGACATTGTGGAGAGCTCTCTTCCCCCTAGGGGCCTTGCCCTAGGAGGACTGTGTGTGATGCAGAGCAAATGGCCTGGGCCTCAGCACATGGCAGGTGCTGAGGGGCCTGGAGGCCTAAGGATACACTGATACTTCACTGGGCCCATACACGTGGCAGGTGTTGGGTGCCTTGTTCTAAGAAGATACTCTCATTTAACTGGAGTGCTCCTTGGCAGTTGCAGATGCGGAGGGCACAGAAGTTCCAGATCCTAAAGAGGAAAATACCTGATGGAAGCTGGGTCAGAGGAGGAGTCCGCTTGTTGAGGGGTACCGCAGAGGAGCTGGTGCGAGCGTCCGTCTGGGTCCCACAAGGGAGAGCCCTCACCCATTCCAGGTACCTGTTCACAGTATTACTACTACTATTGGTCCTTGGGGCCAGATCACAGCGATATCAGCATTAGCAGTTGCTAAGGGAGACAGCTGTCCTCCGAAGTATTTCCTATGGCATCCTACAGACCCTAAACCCTCTCTCTCTCCTATTGATGTTGCAAATAAATACCCTAAAAAAAAAGACCCTAAGACTCGAGCCGTTCTGTCCGTGAGTGTCGGTGTGCTGTTGCTGATTCAAAGAGGACCGGTAGCTGGAACCAACAGGTAGGAGAACCCATTTCAATATTCAGCGGCTCCTTAGGGGGTGAGCGCTACACACCAAATGAAAGCTCTGTCTCAAACAAATGATATAAAATGTATTCTATGTCTCTATCATTAAGCTTTTTTGATGAAACATGAGCCTGTGGATCTTGTTATGTCTGTAACGTTTTAGATTCCTGGGAATAAACTTTTTTACATCAAGGTCCTGGCTGTTGAGTGTGGCTCTACATACAATGGATAAAATGTATTGGTTACAGGGTTGGACGACAGAGTAATTCTCAAGTCAAACTTTCACAGCACTAAAAAATGGCCTGCTAAGAAACAGAACAGAATTCCAACACATCCCAAAAACAGGAGAATTATTCCTCAGTTTAGGACAGTGCCATGCAAATCATTGTATTTCGCACCATTGGCCAGATACAAATCCAGAACCGCTGGTGTAGGGCTCTTGTACACGGATGCCTGTGGCCATCCAGTTTAAATTCCAGTGTATTGCTGCCTCCAGGGAGCCACAATTGCTGCGTTCAGCCTCCATATAAGTAAATGGCTGTACACTGGTATACGACGGACTTGTATAAACACATGCATAACCTCTATGAAGCAGGGCTTGTACATACCTCCCACTGGCCACTGTCAGAAGACTGGGGAAGAAAAGAGAAATACTGTAAGGTATGCAAAAAATAAAAAGCCGGTATTATCTAGACATATGTGTTTGTAGATTGTCATTACTAAACATTTCTAAAGGCGCCTTTCTTGTTATTTTTAATATATGGGTAAAGTTTCTCTTTAAAGTGACATTAAAGGATTCAACATTTTTCCCTCCCCCCATGTTAATGTCAGCACTTACCTTAAATGATGTCTCTTAATCCGATCATCTTCTTCTTTCCCCATGTTTTTATCTGTTCCACCAGCGGTGCGGCGGCTCTCCGATCCAGCACTGACTCCTCTCTGCTAGCAGGCACTTCTGATCCAGCGGTGTCTGCATGCGGATGCACGCATCCATAGACTTACCTTGTGTCTCTGCTCGTCTCCCGGACGAGAATCGGAACTGCGCATGCGCTCGCCCCAAGATGCTTTGCGGCCGCTGGAGCAAATTTCGCGGACGGGAGCGCGCAGCCGAAACAAGGTAAGTGTTAAGCGTTGTTAAAGCGTTGTTTAAAAACTTTTTGCCTATATCTACTGCTTGGTAGCAGTAGATATAGGCAAAAAAAAACGGGAGGGTTTAGAAGCACTTTAATGGTCTATGTAACTGGGAGTGTGGTTGGGATCTGTCCGTTGCCTAAATACATTGGGAGACATTTATCAAGTAAATTAGCGACATAATTAATCACAAATCAGGCTGTCTCTCCTTCAGAAAATTTGCTGTGACAGGTTCACAGAGCGGTGCATCTGTTTTCTCAAGTGTGACAGTGTGCAAGGTTCTGAAACAGATTTATTACAGAAGATGCCACAGATTTTGACATGAAACTGGCGCATAATAAGGAAGTGGTTGGATTTTATTCTGTCCCAGTGCTACTTTACAGTAAGGCCCCGTTCACATTGAGCGATTTATCGCGCTCCAATGCAAGGCAATGGGGCAAAGGGTCCTGCTGTCGCGGGTCGCTACAGCAAGACCCTTTTTGGAGCGGATTTTGCCGCGATTCCATTCTTTGCAATGCAAGCATTTGCGCGATATCGCGCGACAAAACGCGCGATATCGCGCAAAATGCAAATCGTGCAGTGTGAATGGGGCCTAAGGGCCAATTCACACCATATGCCCTGGGGCTGTGCTGGCTATAGTTTCCAGTGCAGCCCCCAATAGAATACAAGGAAGTTTGCCTAGTACACACCACTGCGTTGCAATGCTAATGCGGTGGTGTGTGCTGAAAACAGTACAATATGCTGCACTTTTTTTCAGTGCAGTACGATGCAATCAAGTACAACCACCTCGCACCCCACTGTGTTTATAGAACTCAATTAAATGTCTCGCGAAATTTCAATAAAATTCTACAACAAAAATGCACAGTGCAATGAGGATTGGCATTGTGTCAGGCAATGCACACCAGCTGCTATGAGTTTAATGCAGTGACTGATGTGAATTGACCCTACATGAGGAAGAATTGTAATACTCATGCTGTAATCTTGTAATAAATCTGTCTCACTGTCCTTGTTTAGCACAGCTTCGCTATGTGATAGAATTGATAAATTGTGCTGGAAGGTGTTCCTCTTTCTCATCTCAGAAACTTAAGGTGCCCATACACATACAATTATCTGCAGATTTTCTGTGGGCAGATGGAAAAAGTGCAACAGATTGGCCCACGTGGAAATTACTCCATCCACAAGTGTAGATGGAGGAATGGATGGAGGAATCTGTTGCACCTTTTCCATCTGACCATAGAAAATCTGCAGATAATTGTAAGTGGTATGGCCAGCTTTAGGGGATATGCTCTTTGAAAATCCCAGTTCCTCTGTAATTATCAAGGTCAAGGAAAACACATGTGCAGTTCATCACACTGCTATTCCCTAGGCTAGTACACATGCGAAAGTTATCACAGAGCTCTTCCCCACTGCACATGTGCAGTTCATAACACGGAGCCTGCTCACTGCACATGCGCAGGTGCCCACATCCAGCGCAGTCTCATTCCACAACGTCTTCCCTACGGGATATACGCACTGCGCCTGCGCTATCTACATGGTCCCTCACGCCGCCGTGACGTCACTCCGCCGTGGCCGTTAGGGACGAAGGAGGAAAGAGAGGGTGGCCCTCATTGCGGCGGCGTACTGTACGTGCGCTGGTGGCGTCGCGAAGCGGTCAGTTCAGGGGTTCAAAGAGGAAAAACATGGCGGACAACAAAGGAGGTGGCGGTGGGGAGACGGACGTTCCCGCGAGCAGTAACAACGGCAACAATGGCAGCGGACAGGACGAGGGTAGCAGTGCAGGAACCGAGGCCCAGACCGTAGAGGAAGTAGAGAGCGGGGACAAGGCTGCCGCTTCGGCCGTTGCTGTGGCGGCTCCGGCAGAGGAGAGTCCGGCCCCCTCATCCTCCGCGGCGTCCTCTTCCTCCGCCTCATCGTCTACGCCGAGCGTATCCGTGAGTCTGTTGGATACGTGCGCTGTGTGTACGCTGAGTCTGCAGAACCGGGAATCTGAGCCCAAACTGCTGCCGTGCTTGCACTCCTTCTGCCGCCGCTGTCTACCTGAGCCTGAGAGGCAGCTGAGTGTACCGTTACCCGGGGGCAGCAACGGAGACATCCAGCAAGGTGAGAGGCCAGGTCACGGGGTCTGGATGGCACGCTGCTGTAATATGAGCAGGGCTGCGCTGGCAAAGAGCATGTGATGTGCCAACTGGGCCAGGCATTGCCGCTGTGCTGACATGGAGGATGCCCTAATGTGTTCACATGTTAGCCAATCATGCTGGATTTGGTAAACATTAGCTTTGTTTTGGAGCTCCTTGTAAGAGCCAACTGCTGTCAACGGGAGTGTGTTTAAAATCGTTCCTGTAGTGTAGACAGTTTGTTCATCAGGTGCTGTAACTAAACCCGAACATTGTTTACATTTGCTGTTGGCTTTTGTAAATTGTGCGGCATGTTGGTTTTAACATCAAAACATCCGAAAATAGGTTGCTATAGCTGAATTATATCTATACAGTAAATAAGCGGTTTTAATGTATAAGTGGGCAAGCATGTTAAAGCGTTTTTAGGGACAAGTCCGCATTCACACCTGTGGGTTTAAAGCGCTTTGTTCATTGTGTGACAATACATTACAAATTCTAACTGCCTATGTAAGATGCTTCCGCGTGATTTGGAAAATAGTGCAGGTGTGTTTTATTTGGCTGTATAGACAACATGTCTACTCACATGCAACATGCACTTTCTCTGCGTTTTAACATGACAAGCCCCCACCCTTTGACAACCTGTACTTTATTTCTCCATTAGCCAAAAATGCATCACAGCGCACAATAAAAATGCACAAGTGTGACGGAGACCAAAAGTGGGTATACACAGGTAGAAATTTGTTCATTTTTGGAACGTTCTTTTAATTTCCAAATAGCTTATTGGGTCATATCAACAATTGTTTTCAACCCTAGTGGCAAAAAAAAAAAAATCAAAGGAGGAGGATGGAAAAATATTTCACAAGTGAATACATTCTAGCAGCGAATGTTGTTTTTCTTTTGGGAAACTCCATTCATTAATCAAATATCAAGATCAAACATTTTGAACAACATTTATCAAGTCTCTGCTGGCATTATCGAATGTTCTGAGCAGATTTTTCATACTAATGTTAGTACTAAATTCTGTGTACCCAACATTAGTCTCTAAAACATGGCACTGTCACTGGAAACAAGGTCTTTGTTGACGAAGGTGTGTGGACAATAGTACTAATGTATGTTGTTGTGTTTTATACCATTTATGGAAGGCGTTTTAAGAGATTTATTTTTGTTAAAATCAGCTAAAGAGGTGTGTACACACACACACGCACACGCACGTACGTACGTACGCACACACACGCGTACGCACACACACGTACGCACACACACACTTTCTTTAGCAGTATTGCAATTTTACTCAAATCAATGAAACTGCATTTGTACTGGCCATGTCATTACATCTGTGCCTTGCTTATCTGCCTGTCTGTTCCTTGGAAATATTTAGTATGCCACTTGCTTATATAAAGTGTCATTGTTGAGCTGGAGCAAATGGTTTAAATGCTTTTTTGTTGTACAGTCACGTGTTCAGCCATCAGTGCATGATTGTATGCGGGATCATTTTCTGAGTGCTGATAAAGTTAACGTGAGCTCATCTAAATTCTGCATGCAGTGGACTGTGTGACGTTTAGGGCTTGTTCACACCATTTTCTGGTCCAGATCGGCAGACACGGTGCAATGCATTCAGCCCGTTTTTGATGCGTTCCGGACGCGTTCCAGTTTTTTTTCTTTGGGGGGGGCTGTCAGTATGCAGATTCTTGCGCTGAGGTCACTTCCGGCCTTCATCAAAAGTGGAGCAAGAATACACCTTTTTTTTGTTAGCGGCAGTGCGGTGCGTTACCAACGCGTTTCTGCTCCTTCCGTTTCCGGACCAAATAAAATGGGACATGCAGTTTTTAGTGCAGAAGCTAACTGTTCTGGTCTGGACAGAATCCAAACATCTTGTGAACAAGCCCTTAGGCTTGTTCACACGATTCTTAGAAAATGGATCAGCTTATCTAAATGTTTGTAAATATTTTGGAAGGAAATAAACAGTACTGGCACATATCACCTCTTCTGTTATTTTTGTGTCCATGACTGTGAATACCACATTTTAAAGAACTCCCAGGAAATGTAAAAAATTAACACTTGCTGTGGAACTACCCCTGCACTGTTAACTGCTCATTTTGTTCTATGGGCTAAAAAAACAAAATCAGTTCACCCTATTCTCGGTCCTGTCTGGCTGCTAGATCAGTCCCTTCAGCCTCTTCTACCTCGGGCTCCTGCAGTCTAAGGCTGGGCACACACCTTACAACCATCGCAAGACTTTCGTCTTGCGATGGTTGGAAGGTACTTAAAAAAACGTACGATCGTACTTGCGGTGATCGCAAGCCACGCCCCCTGAGAGGCTGGCTTCCGATGACCGCAATGCCGAACGGGCAGTGTGCGCTTGCGCACACCGGCCCGTCCGGCTTTTATCTTACGAAAATGCTACAGACCCGCCGAACATCGTACGATGCTCGGTGGGTTTTCGAACATGTCCATAAGTTAAAAGTCGTGCGACCTTACAGTAGTAGAGGTCGCACGGCTTCCACACACCTTACGATAATCGTACGATCACGGGATTTCCCGCGATTATCGTACGATTATCGTAAGGTTGTGGGGACCTTAAGGACCCATGACATTATCTCGTCCAATGCAGCTGCACTAGATGTGAGAACGCGGATGGGGAGAGAGGTGAGCGCTGACACTAGCAGGACTTATTAACAGGTGAGTATATTTTCTTTATTTTAGCCCCTAGACCGGTGATGGCTAAGGTTTTTGAACCCAAGTGACCAAACTGAAACGCAAAATCAATTTATTTATCTCAAAGTGCCAACACTGAAAATAAGTTTGGTATTGTATTTTAGTTCGGGCCCTGGGGTTTAAAAAACATTTAGCATCACTGCCTTAGACAAAATAGGGAAACACACAGTTATACACTCACAGATACAAACACATAATCATACACTCATAAACGCACACATCTCGCGCACACAAACACACACACCACACACTTATAAAACACATCACATACATATCACACGTCTATTAAAAAGCACAGACATATAACACGCCTATTAACCACTTCAAGACCTGGTGTTTAGACTCCCTTCCTGGCCACGCCATTTTTCAGTATTCAGCGCTGCGGTATTTTGACTGACGTTTATTCCGTCATGCAACGCTGTACTGAAATTAATTTTATACCATTTTTTGGGGACAGATAGAGTTTTTTATTTTGGTGGTATTTAAACACCATTGGGGTTTTTATTTTTTACAATAATTAGGCAAAATTATAGAAAAGTTTTTTTTTTTTTTTTTACATTGTTAGGAAACCGTTATTATTACCCAGTTTTTTGGTAAAATATAAAAGATGGGGTCACGTCGGGAAAATAGACACCAAACATGTCAAGCTTTAAAATTGCGTGCACCCGCGAAATCGCAGAAAAACTGCCATACCCAAAATTGGCCATAGGCGACACTTTACAAGCTTTTAGGTCCCATTCACACTGAGCGACATGAAAATTGCGCGACTTTGAGCGATATTGCGCGACTTCTTCCCTATTGGGCTGTATGCAATCAGCAGCAATATCGCTCAAAATCGCTCTCAAAAAGGGTCATGTAGGAGCGACAAGCTACCAGCGACGAGCTACAAGCGATATTGAGCGACGAGATGTGAACAGCTACATTGAAATGTATTGGTGAAGCTACATAGAGCGATGTCGCGCGGAAATATTAGCGATATCGCTGCAAAAATCGCGCGATAAATCGCTCAATGTGAACGGCGCCTTACCGCTCATCAGTTTAGTGTCATCAGTGATTGATGACCCTAGACTTATTGCTCTCACTCCGACGTTTGCGGCGATATGTGACGTGTGGCGTAATGGGAGCAATCGTCTTTTTTTGCACGTATGTGGAGCCGTGAACATGGCCAACCAATCAAAAGCCGATAAATCGATTATGTCGATTAGTTGTTGCAGCCCTAGTACACAGATGGCAAAAGAAAAAAACCTGGCAGGCCTACTTACTATATCAAAAACTGAAAAGTTTTGGCTTTACACAAATTTTACGTAAAGCCTAGTCTAGGTAGCCACAAAGTTTTTTAAATCTCACTTCTGAGATAACTTGTATTCGTTGAGTTGCATTTGTTGCTACCATCTCAGCTTGGTGTGGTAGAGTTTTAATAACCACCAGTTTTGGTCCAGTGAGAGGTTGGAGTCAAAAAGCAGATATTTAAAGTATAATTAAACCTTTTTTTTTTTTTTTTTTTTTTTGCATATTTCTACATTTCTCTATAGCTAGCAGTAGATCTATGCAAAAACATAAAAAAAAGTTACCAAAAAGGGTTTTACTTGCCTCTCTGCGCCGCTTGCTCCCGTCTGAAGATTCTCGAGCGCCCGAGCAGCATGTTGGGGTGGGCGCATGCGCAGTAGAGATTTTTGGTCGTGAGAAAAGAGAGACAGTGTAAGTCAATGACAGACCCTGGCAGCGTGCATGCAGGTACCAGCGCTGGAGGCACTCCTGAGACTACTGCAAAGAAGATGATCGGATCAAGAGGCATCATTTTAAGATAAGTCCTTAAAGCAGCATGGAGGGGGGAGAACAATATTTGTGACTAACCCTTTAGTCACCAGTGACGTCCATAGTAATTTACTGACAACGGGTCCATTTAAACAGACTCCTGCCGGCTAAAGACCCCGGTTTCTGTTTACAATTGTAAAGCCGACTGGCTTTTTAAATAAAAGGGATCTGGCGACTCAGCTGTCGCCAGATCGCTTTTTCGGGCAGGTAAAAGGGCCGATCCCCCTCACCGTACTATGGGACAAATGGCGACTACCTCACTTCCCGTCCCATAGCTGTCAGTGCTGGGCTCCTGAAGCCCAGCAATAAGCTGTTAAGGTGCGATCTGCACTTCAATAGCTTATTTCAAGTGTAAAGGTGATGCCAGGGGTCTTTTGGACCCCCAGCATCACCTTAAAGAGTATCTGTCACTGCCAATATGCTATCACATGGGGGGGTTGTAATCTCCCCTATGTG